CACTTAGAAAGAAAAAACAGATTTCCTTTAAACAACACATAAGACTATATACCTGTATTGTTGGTGGAAATACCCCCAAAGAGCTATGAGAGTGCAGCATAAGGACGGGTGCAGACCTGAGCGATCCAGGACACGCGTCCCGGGATCGCGCGGTCCTGCAAAATTGCAGGCAGCGATTGCCGTGCGGCCCCATTGATTTCAAAAGGGGGACATCCGCGCGGCAATCGCAGAAAAAGGTACATGTAGCTTTCTTTGTGATACACGACGCGCAGCTGTTTTAGTCACGATCGAGTTTGGTTGCACAGGCAGAATCGCGGCAGGAAAATGCACGGTGCGACTGGGGTGCCATTAGAAAATAATCCATCGTTGGTGGTGGGCGAATTCATGACCGCACGGCAATCCGCGCGGTATTGTCCACGATATCCACGCAGTCACGGATCGCCCAGATGTAAACCGGGCCTAACAATCAAATATGGAGGGCTGGAGTTTGGCTTTGTGATCACTTGCTGAGTGAAAAATGAAGCTTTCTATAGCACCGACACTACGGGTGAGCTGGGTATCAAACTCCTGCTGCTGACTAAAACGTCTGATTAATGTGGAGTAGATAAAACTTGCTGGCCGGCAACCAGCATCTTTATATCTGATCTGTTGGATCAGAATCCTTTTTACTTTGACCCTGAAATATGAGCAAAACAAGTCAGGAAAAAGAAATTCAGAGGTCAGTGTTGCATGAGATATACAATGTTCAGGTCTCAGCAATACCATGGGAGCCACAAGACAAATTATAGAGGAAAAATCATAAGAACACAGCCCGTCCATTCACTAGAGACCAGTGACATCACTGACACTTCATATTCATGAGAACACAGCCTGTCCAATCACTAGAGACCAGTGACATCACTGACACTTCATATTCATGAGAACACAGCCTGTCCAATCACTAGAGACCAGTGACATCACTGACACTTCATATTCATGAGAACACAGCCTGTCCAATCACTAGAGACCAGTGACATCACTGACACTTCATATTCATGAGAACACAGCCTGTCCAATCACTAGAGACCAGTGACATCACTGACACTTCATATTCATGAGAACACAGCCTGTCCAATCACTAGAGACCAGTGACATCACTGACACTTCATATTCATGAGAACACAGCCTGTCCAATCACTAGAGACCAGTGACATCACTGACACTTCATATTCATGAGAACACAGCCTGTCCAATCACTAGAGACCAGTGACATCACTGACACTTCATATTCATGAGAACACAGCCTGTCCAATCACTAGAGACCAGTGACATCACTGACACTTCATATTCATGAGAACACAGCCTGTCCAATCACTAGAGACCAGTGACATCACTGACACTTCATATTCATGAGAACACAGCCTGTCCAATCACTAGAGACCAGTGACATCACTGACACTTCATATTCATGAGAACACAGCCTGTCCAATCACTAGAGACCAGTGACATCACTGACACTTCATATTCATGAGAACACAGCCTGTCCAATCACTAGAGACCAGTGACATCACTGACACTTCATATTCATGAGAACACAGCCTGTCCAATCACTAGAGACCAGTGACATCACTGACACTTCATATTCATGAGAACACAGCCTGTCCAATCACTAGAGACCAGTGACATCACTGACACTTCATATTCATGAGAACACAGCCTGTCCAATCACTAGAGACCAGTGACATCACTGACACTTCATATTCATGAGAACACAGCCTGTCCAATCACTAGAGACCAGTGACATCACTGACACTTCATATTCATGAGAACACAGCCTGTCCAATCACTAGAGACCAGTGACATCACTGACACTTCATATTCATGAGAACACAGCCTGTCCAATCACTAGAGACCAGTGACATCACTGACACTTCATATTCATGAGAACACAGCCTGTCCAATCACTAGAGACCAGTGACATCACTGACACTTCATATTCATGAGAACACAGCCTGTCCAATCACTAGAGACCAGTGACATCACTGACACTTCATATTCATGAGAACACAGCCTGTCCAATCACTAGAGACCAGTGACATCACTGACACTTCATATTCATGAGAACACAGCCTGTCCAATCACTAGAGACCAGTGACATCACTGACACTTCATATTCATGAGAACACAGCCTGTCCAATCACTAGAGACCAGTGACATCACTGACACTTCATATTCATGAGAACACAGCCTGTCCAATCACTAGAGACCAGTGACATCACTGACACTTCATATTCATGAGAACACAGCCTGTCCAATCACTAGAGACCAGTGACATCACTGACACTTCATATTCATGAGAACACAGCCTGTCCAATCACTAGAGACCAGTGACATCACTGACACTTCATATTCATGAGAACACAGCCTGTCCAATCACTAGAGACCAGTGACATCACTGACACTTCATATTCATGAGAACACAGCCTGTCCAATCACTAGAGACCAGTGACATCACTGACACTTCATATTCATGAGAACACAGCCTGTCCAATCACTAGAGACCAGTGACATCACTGACACTTCATATTCATGAGAACACAGCCTGTCCAATCACTAGAGACCAGTGACATCACTGACACTTCATATTCATGAGAACACAGCCTGTCCAATCACTAGAGACCAGTGACATCACTGACACTTCATATTCATGAGAACACAGCCTGTCCAATCACTAGAGACCAGTGACATCACTGACACTTCATATTCATGAGAACACAGCCTGTCCAATCACTAGAGACCAGTGACATCACTGACACTTCATATTCATGAGAACACAGCCTGTCCAATCACTAGAGACCAGTGACATCACTGACACTTCATATTCATGAGAACACAGCCTGTCCAATCACTAGAGACCAGTGACATCACTGACACTTCATATTCATGAGAACACAGCCTGTCCAATCACTAGAGACCAGTGACATCACTGACACTTCATATTCATGAGAACACAGCCTGTCCAATCACTAGAGACCAGTGACATCACTGACACTTCATATTCATGAGAACACAGCCTGTCCAATCACTAGAGACCAGTGACATCACTGACACTTCATATTCATGAGAACACAGCCTGTCCAATCACTAGAGACCAGTGACATCACTGACACTTCATATTCATGAGAACACAGCCTGTCCAATCACTAGAGACCAGTGACATCACTGACACTTCATATTCATGAGAACACAGCCTGTCCAATCACTAGAGACCAGTGACATCACTGACACTTCATATTCATGAGAACACAGCCTGTCCAATCACTAGAGACCAGTGACATCACTGACACTTCATATTCATGAGAACACAGCCTGTCCAATCACTAGAGACCAGTGACATCACTGACACTTCATATTCATGAGAACACAGCCTGTCCAATCACTAGAGACCAGTGACATCACTGACACTTCATATTCATGAGAACACAGCCTGTCCAATCACTAGAGACCAGTGACATCACTGACACTTCATATTCATGAGAACACAGCCTGTCCAATCACTAGAGACCAGTGACATCACTGACACTTCATATTCATGAGAACACAGCCCGTCCATTCACTAGAGACCAGTGACATCATCAACAATTTTTTTTTAATCTTTTATTATTTTTACAAAAATGTTGGGTTAGATAAAGCGTTGTGCTAATGTGCGACGTAAACATTTTAAACTGCCACCATTTTCTTCTACGGGGTCTTTGCTTTTAGAACATTTATAATGTTTTGGGGGATTAAAAGTAAGCACATGGACGAATTGCGGTAAACAACCGCACGTATTTTCGTTTGCGCATGAGCAGTGTAAATCGTACGAATTTTGATGTACGGAAACGCCACCAACCTTCGCGAAAATCGTACGATCGACCGAAGTTTTCTAACCTGCTGGTTAGCCAAAAGTCGATCGATTGTACAGTATTTGCGGTTGTACACTGTCAATCAACCTAACGAATATCGGACGAAAGCACAATCGCGTGCGATATTCGTAAGGTGTATGGGCGGCTTAAGGGCTTGTTCAACCCATGTCCGGTGAGTTGTGATTTTCTACCCATCACCGCACATGTAAGGCGTGATAAGGGCACATAGAAAACAATTGTTATTTTAGTGTCTTTGGCATCCTTTCTCATCCAGGGTTCTGTGGAACTCTGGGGTTCCTCTGGAGGATTTGGGGGGGGGGGGGGGGGCGGCTGC